TTGTGAGATGTGGCGTGCCTGCTTGGGGTAGGGGAGGGTGTCGGTGCGGCCGTTGTGGGTGATGGTGATGTAACCCTCCTCGATGTCGATGTTGGGCGTCCCGTATTCTCCCATCGTGCCCAGCTTCACCAGGTGGCAGTCCGGCTTGAACTCCTGCATTCGAACTTGAATGTTGAGATACCCAGATCAGGACAGCCCCAGCCCTGTCACATCCGCAATGCCCCTCCTACTGAGCGCAAGTCCCTCGTTGATCCTTGGACATGTCCTAGAAATGCTGTGCGACAAGACTTGCCATTGCATTAATCCATACCCTGCACTGTGGCATTGATCGATCTGCCCAATGGGATTCCAATTGCATTGGGTGTAAAGGATTTCCATTTTATGGGTGGAAGTAGTATGATGCAGCTCTTAGAACAGCCGTGCTGCAAGGAAGGGTATGGCGGAGAGGGAGACGCACACACCTTTATGGCAAAGAGGACGTTGATGGTGCCGATGACATTGTTCTGCTGCGTGAAGACAGCACGGGAGCGGTCGATCATGGAGTAAGGCGCAGAGCGCTGCTCGCCAAAGTGCACAACCGCGTCCGGCTGGAATGCCTGGAAGGCCTCTGAGAAGAACTCAAAATCGCAGATGTCACCCACTTGCAGGTCGATGTGCTTCCCAGAGATCTCCCCCCACCTGTGCCACACAGAGGATTATTTTTGACACACTGTTCTACAAGTTCCTGTGACGGTCACACATTCAAGAGGAGCAGTAGGGGTCTGGAGCTCTATGCTTCGACGGGAAGCTGAAAATGCCACATGCTTGACCCGCACTCTTCACGAAAGGTGTCGAGGGCTCGAGAGTGCGTAAGAGGCCGGCATACTTGATGGACATCATCAAGACGAAGGGTGCAGGCGCAAGTGAAGTCATGGAAGGTTGAGGGGACACGCCTCTTCACACGCTGGTGGGCGGATGCAATGGGGGTAAGGGTGTCCAGTCCCAGCTGCAAGTCAAAGGTGCGGCGGCACAGGTTGTCCACGATGCTGACTGCATACCCGCGCGCCGACAGATGCAGCGCCGTCGCCCATCCGCAGTAGCCATCCCCACCTGCATCCATGCAGCCACATTGTGACACATGTTCTGGTGCATGCATTGCTTGTCCAGAGGCCTTCAAAGCGGTCGAGCTTATGGCATGAATGCCAGATTGTCCTTTGAGACAGGAAGACCACTTGGTGCATACAAGAAACTGCAAATAAGCTTCAAGTGCAAGTATCGATGGATCCAGTCAATATGAAGGCTCACCAATGATCATGACCCTGCGACCAGATCCATTGGTCTCCAAGGTTGGGGGAGCTGATGGCTTGTCTGTCGCCAGGACCGCATTGGTGGGCCCAGATGGACCTCTGATAAGTCGTGCACGCCTTGGGCGCAGACATTTGCTGGGTATCTGTTCCACCCCAGACATGCTGTTCCTTCAAACCCTCCGTTGGCTCCACACTAGCGATCATCCGTCCAAAATTTGTTCAACATGAAGATGAAGAACGACTGAAACAATCATAAGTGGTGTGCATGCAGACAAAGCCTGTCTTAGAGACACCGCAGGTCCAACATCTAAGACCAGCAGGCTTAGGCGGGAGCCATACCCTGATCTGGCTCATCGATGCATAATCTTTTGACCCTGCAGGTGAACGCACCACAGAGCTCACCAAAATAACTCTGAATGATCAACTATAAGCAGCGCAAGCCCCCATCAGCGCCTTCCCTCACCTCCTGAAAGCAGGCTCCGGGGCCCATTCCTGGTAGCATTGTGATGGGTGGACAGAACAATCCTATTGCCTGCCAAAAACGAACATCTTTACAGAGACATCGAGGGTGTAAACAGAGTGATCAGCTTTTCCGACTGTACATGGACTTCTCACCTGCCGCCTGCGACATTGCTGCTATTGCAGCCGTTTATGTTGCTCTTTCTGCTTTCTTAATCCTTTGTCAGTAAGAGTTTTCTGTGCTATGGAATCTTGTTGATGTTCCTGATAAGTCTTCCGGAGAAGCTGCCCTGTTTAGGCAAGGGAGCTTGTCAAGGCGTGCGAGCAAACTGGACGCACATGATTGAAATCCACTTCTTTCCGACACTGATGGTCCTGTGAGGGACTGAGTCTGACCAAATCCTAATGGCTATGCTCTTGCTGCCTTGAAATTCCTTTTGTTCCAGATCTCTCCCCACTGCTGGATCCAAGGTTGCAGTGGCTCTTTGTTTACTGTAGGGCTGATCCTGTAGTTCTCAGAAGTTGTCGTGAGATAGGATACCGGAGAATACGCATTCAAGTCAGCAACAGTCGTCATGAATAGCGAGCGAAAGACAGGGACCCAGTACATCACCGCAAACGATAGCGTCAAGATAGCTTTCGAGCGCATGGGCAGATCAGGCCCGGTCGTCGTTCTTCTACATGGTCAGTATTGCTTCGAAGCTGTGAACTATTATGCCTTGCAATCGTTTGGCAGGGTTTCGGTGACTGGTGCTGTGATTGGTCACGCAGGGTGGAGCGGCAGCAGGCACTACTACGACAGGAACGCACAGGCTATAGCGAAGTATTGCCAGGTCTACGCCCTGGACTACAGATTTCACGGCGACAGCGATAGGCCCTCGTGGGTAAGGCAGCCAAATAGCCAGTGCCACTGCTTCGGGGTTTGCCCATGCTGCAAATTAATGCCAACCCTGATTCCAGACACGGCTCTGTTTGTTCCTGGAACCTTCATCAGAGTTATACCAAGTGAACCACGTGCAGGGCTACCATGTTGCACGGCTCGCCGCAGACTTGCACGACTTCCTGGAGGCCCTTGCTCTGGATGTGCAGCCCCTCCCTCCCTCCTTCGATGACTTGTATATTTGCACAGCTGCTGGTGGGAAGCATCTAACAGTCCAAGGGACTGCAGAAGGTGTTGCTAAGTAGTGTAATCTGGCGATCAGGAGGTCACAGTGGTGGGGAGCTCAATGGGGGCTGCTGTCATCTGGTCCTACATCGAGCTGTTTGGGCATCAGCACCTCGCAAAGGCAGTCTTTGTTGATCAGGTGAAATATACACAAACCATAAGCTGTGATGTGTGCATTGGTACAGCTGCACCTATCCCTGGCACAGGCCCAAAGACACATGCTCCCTGCTCGAAGTTGCTGTAGATTTTGGCGTGTAATGCGAATGTATTACGGGGTTTGCCATGCATGTCAATATGGTGATGAAAGCAGTGAGCTCCTTAATCAAAGTTTTCTGCAGATGTCCACAAAGCACTGCGGGTGCACAGGCACCGCTGCAGAATGTCGCACCTGACTGGCGGATGGGCAGCAACGGCTGCTACGACGCTGCGACGCTGGCGGCGCTGCAGACGCGTTTGGCGCTGGACTTTGAGAGCGTGGCGGACGGCGTGCAGGCGGAGTGCCTGTCGCGGCCGCTGGGGCATGGCATGGAGGAGGCCCTCAAGGCCGAAACGCTGCGCGCCGACCCCGATGCGCTCGGCCGCCTCATGGCCGACCACACTCAGGTTTAACATTTCATACAAGACTGACACCCTGTGTCCCACTTGATGTACACCCTTGATATTTGGGGTAAATAGGGTGTTCAGGATATACACCATATTGCCACCTTTCACTGCCGACAGTGTACTGGGCGTATGGCATAGAGTCTCTTAATCATCAAGAGAACCTCTGGGCTGCTTGGTCAGCAGACTTTACTTCTGAATTTTACTGGGTAGATGGCAGGCTGATGCTCTTGGCCGCTTTTCGATGTACAACCCAGGTACCGCACCATTATACAGCTGACATCTCTCACCAAACATTGAGAGTCGTCTAAAGCCGGACTGCTTACGCTTGCAGAGGTTTTGCAGCCGACCCATGCCTCTGCATGACTCACGTTGGTGGTGCTTAGGGCTGTGTCTTCACAATGTTACATTCAGGGAAAAGAAGACATCCAAAGTCCTGAAGGTGCAGTCAGTGTGATGTGCAGCTGGACTGGCGGCCGTTGCTGCCCAGGATAAAGATCCCTTGCCTCAACCTGGTGGGCCGGATTAGCAAAACATTTCCCTGGCAAGGCACAGCAGTGGTGGGGCAAATGATACCAAACTGCCACACTGTAAGAGCCTCCCCACCCACCTTCCTGAGCAATTGCTACTGCTTGTGGCGCCTCCCCTGCGCCTGTTGTGCACTCTTACATTTGCAGTGAAGAGACAAAGCACCGGGCATGATTTTGTGTATACGTATTCATCAGCAGGCATGGTGTGCTGCAGGTGTACTTCGAGCAGGGGAATCATTTCCTGTACATAGAGGAGCCTGAGAAGTTTAATCAGCTGGTGATTGAATTTGTGGAGAAAGGGCTGGCTGCAGTCTGCAGCACGATCAGCATCTGATCTCCAGATCTTTCAGCATGATCAGCTGTGAGGGCATGTACATGTAGGGTATGTAGTCAGTCCATAGTCTGCTCCAAATCCATTCTTGACTTGGCAGGTTTGAAGGCCAAAGCACTATCTGAGCCAGGTTGCAGCTCGAATAAAGTTTAAAAGGGCCTGCGCGTCGTGCTGTTCATAGTTAGGTCATGAAGATCATGCACCATGCGCCACATAGTTTTTCTGACCATGAAATCTGGACCTGGCTGCGCACAAGGAGTGTTCAATAGTCAATAAACTCATGAGGACTTAGTACACGGACTCCATATTTGTACACATGTGTGCTGGCTTTCGTAGGACTAGTAAGTACTGGTGCAGCCCTGGTGTTAGAAAGAGACTAGGAGAACAGTATTACTAGTAGTACTCGTATACGGTGTACGACGTGTAACACTGTACACTGTACGTACACCGCGTGACATCATGATGTGACATGTGTTCCAAACATGAGTTCATTCCAACAACGTTGTTGGAATGAATGCATGCTCCTTAAAGGGTGCTGCCGACAGTGTGCTGCGACTTCCTTCTCTCCCAAAATATTCCTCAGCGCAGACTCAACAGAAAAGCAGAAGAAAAAAAGTTTAGATGGTCAGTGACCACGCCAGGGCTCGAACCTGGAATCTCCTGCTTCGTAGGCAGGCGCCTTATCCATTGGGCCACGCGGCCATAGGTGATCACATTCAATTTCCTTGATTACATATAACGCCGTGGCGGTGACCAAGGCGCGGGGCCAAAGCGCGTATCTTGTGTGCTTATTTGAAGACAGCAGCAACAGCAACAGCAGCCAGAAAAGCACAAGCAAAGAGCTCTTGTGGGAAGAGGAGAGGACTTTCACAAACCGAGTTCGATCAAACGGCTCATCTTCGTGGGCGGCAAGGTGCGTTGCTACAAACCTCAACGCAGAGAGTCGGCTGAGGTTCAGCTTGATGTCAATGGACGAGGGAGTGTTCCTGTGTCGCTGCCGTTGTTCTTGTGTCTGAATCAGTCAGTAAAACGAATACAAAAATGTGAATGAAGCTCACAAGGCCTTTTGAGGGGTTCTAGCGTTGCTATGTACTTGTGGTGAGCGCGCGCTTTTTGGCATTGCGGTTTTGGGGATCTCCCGCGTTGATCAAGCGAGTCTCAAACAACTTTCATCTTAGAGTGAAACCTTTTCATTTGATGAAGAACATTTATCAGCCTCGTGCCCTTTGCCCTTTGCTCGAGGCCACTGTCGAAGCCATCTGATGAAGGCGGGTCACTTTTGCGTCAACTGTTGTGAGCATACTAATAGACACTTCAAGAGAAGACGCGTGTATGCAGTGAAACACTTGACGGATGTGCTATTTTCACATTATTCAATCGGTCGATTGCACAGCTTTAACGGGAAAATGTTCTGCGCATTACTGCAATCAGACGTGCCGTTCGCTTGTTTCCGACGCCGTGCCGTTTTGAACGCAGGTTGACTGAAACTATCCGCTACAGAACAATGCAAGCTGTTGGATTTGCAGCCTTTGTATTGGCTGTTGCTGCTCTGTGCAGCACAGCTTCCGCAGACGCGGTGCGCATCTCTTGGCACCTACCTGAACTCCGCCATTAAGTGCTTGCCTACGCTCAGCATTGCAATTGAAGGATCTTTTTGTTGAACGTACACTGAGTCACGCTGCTTACTGGTGATCAGATCCCAGTGCCATACCCAATTGGCTCCATCCCCATCTACCACCATCCCACCGTCCCGCCCATCATCCCCCACGATCAGCTGCTGTTCCCTTCGATCCCACCATACTTCCCACAGAAGAAGGTCCTGCCCTACATCCTGCCTAGACTCCTGGGCTCGCTGCCCTACCAGCACCCAGGCAGTCAGGACATTGCCGCCATCCTGAGCAACCCACTGTTGGACACCGTCCTTCCCCTATCTGCAGAGGCACCCATCCCAGGTTTGCCATCCTTCTTCAGTGTCACTCTTGCCCCAAGCAGCCATCCTTTTCTTATGTTTCTGTGGCGAGAAAGGATTCACCTGCTGGTGGCTGAAACGACCTGCTTTGTATCGTTGTCAGCTCACCTCGACGGACTATTTGTACAAGGCCTCCTGTGCATTGCAGGGACATCTGAGGCACTGGCCGCTGAGTCTGCGCCTGCTCTGGCTCCGAAGCGCAGCAAATCCCTGATCGCCCGTAAGGTGTCCCCCCGCAAACACTTGCAGGCCCAGGACCGCAACCGCGCCGCCGTTCTGGCCGCTCTGACCGCTCTTGTCCCTGCGCCCGCCCCAACGCTAGCAGAAGTACGGACATCTCACAGCTGAAAGCTCATTATGTCAATAGTGGTGCAGACCGCAACCCTTGCCTGCAGTATTAGTTGGAGTGAAGTGGGTGCAACTGCGCATCGCCATACTACCACAAGTTTTGGTGGTGCGGCATCGAAGTTCTTGTGTCAGCAAACTCCTGCTTTTTGGAGGCTCTTGAAGACAGCCTTGGGACTGCCAAGTTCACCTGGATATGTTTTCAGAAGCAGCCTGAAAAATTGAGTCTGTGAACCCGCAGGGGCTCGCACCTGCCCTGGGTCCCATTCCCTCGTCCTCCTTCAACGCCTTTTTCGCCAGCCTCAACTCCCAGGCACTTGCACCTGCTCCTGCCCTGGTGGCAGCAACCCCAGCCGAGGCCCCTGTTGTGGCTCCTGGTGTCACTGTCGAGGCTCCCGGTGTGAGTGTCGTGGCTCCCGGTGTTGATGTGAACGTACCACTGCCGCAGCCAACACCATTGCCCACAGCCACTCCTCTACCCTGACACTGCCGACCTCAGCATTCCTGCGGCCACTCCGCAGCCTTAGGTGCCCGCACTCCAGTAGGGGGTGCGATGAGCGTTTGTGTCCATGTTGGCAATTGTGTGCCAGAGCTTGGGTTATGCCTTGATCAAGACATGGTCCTCATTTGCATTCTTGCTGACCAGAAAATCCGCTGTGTCAAACAACAGAGTTTCCATGCAACTGTCCCTCAAGCAGTGATGAAATGATGAGTATGCAAAGACTGTCGAGTTGTTATGCAACGAGCCGTTTGCCCCAGGCTTATGTACTTGTGGCCACTATGGACTATTTTCTGCAGCATGTAGCACCATAAGAGTCACAACATTACATCAGAGTTCCATAAGAGTTATGTAAGCAGCTCACTAAGAGTTGTGTAAGCAGCTCAGTAAGGGTTGTGTAAGAAGCCGTCCATCGAAGTGCAGCATAGGTATCGATTGCAGTGCACAACATTCCTTGCCTGCTAATACGGTATAGCACAGTCAATTCCCTCATGTAAAGATGCTATACAAGGTGCAGTGCTCCATCCAATGTTGCAATAATATGGTCTCTGTCTGGTTCCAGTTACCAACTTGAAGCTCTCGCACTTTATTCACAGAAAGAGTCATGGCATCAGAGGAGCTATTTGCCTAAAGACGACTGCGTGGCACCCGTTCTGACTGTGCTTTTGGCAGAGTGTTCCACAGAACGGCGTTTCTGCTGAAGTAGAAGTTGAAGATGACCCGGTCAGCAACAAATGCAGGGCTGTCAAACGGCCCAAAGTGCCCCATCCACCTGTACCTGAAGGACCATTAACTGGCATTTCTTAGCAGCAGAGTTGAGCAGCAAATAGAGAACCAGTATTCCGAGCACTGTGGCAGTTGAATCTACACATGCATATTTGCCTATCCAAGATGAATGTCAAATGGGACGTTACAGCCAATTTTTCCCCCGTCACCTGATCTCTATCACGACTGTGGCCGCTCAGCTGACACTCTGTCAGCCTAAAGAGATACACAGCCGGCAAGTCCTGACTCCTCACATAGCAGCACAAGCCTGGTATTAAAAATCAATGCATTTATTGGGGCGCGCACTGTTCAAATCGGCCCAGAGAGAGCTGTGCTGCGATGCGCGGCGCTTCAAGCTCTCCAGCCATCATTCTGCCAGGAACAACCTCGGCACCAGCCGCGATGGTCACTGGACACTTCACATCGCGAAGCCGACCAAATGTCCGTCGCCCTACTTCCCACACGTCCGTGTATATCCGTGCCTCCACCTCTGGTGTACACTTGAGCTCCACAGTGCCGTCTGCACCAAAGTACTAGCGTGTTGTTGGCGAGCGCAACTATATTGATAATACCTTGAGAATGTCAGACTCATCCCAATGTGTGCTTCTTCAACCTTGCAGGTCTCATGGCAACGAGCAGCAAGGAAACACATGCACATGTCTTTCCCATTGGATGCAATGTCTCTCAATCTCTGTCAATTTGCATCTGCAAGGATTGTCAAATTCCTGTCAACAGGGAGTGCAGGTGCACCTGACAATTCTCTGAGGCCATGCTCAATGTAGGCAGACAGTGCAGAGGACTGGAAATCCTGGAAGGGGGGCTTGGAGGCAAAGGATTGCAGGGCTGCCGCCTTGGATGCAAACCTACGCCGCCGCTTGAGTGCGCGGACAGCAAGGAAGTCAGGGGAAAATGCAGCATGGGCAGTTCGGATCTTTGCAAGGTCCACAAATGCATTTGTCTGCCTGCGACATGACATGCGCTCCAGTCATCAAGCCCGGAAATGCACCAAGCTGCCGTTGCTACCAGCCTCTCATGCTGTGAGGAGCCTGCCTCCTAAAGACAATGAATGTGCAGTAATTATGGAAATGATGTTAACATTTGGGGTGGGGCTTACTCATCTGCCCCTGCGCTCTCAGGTCCAAACACCACTGGCTCGTAGAGGTACATGGCCTTGAAAGTTCCCGGCCTGTGCTGCTCGGCCATAAGGGCTGCTAACCCGCCACCAGAGTGACCAAAGACATAGCAATCTGCGAATGGAAGCACCCATGAGCGGAGCTGCAATCATCCTGCCAAGCATTTGCCTATGATGCGAATGCACTGTGCTGGGCCGCATGCATAGTGCGAGTTACAGACCCTGTTGGTTGAAATGGTCCACTATGGCAAGAAGGTCGTCTGCATGTCGCTCCAGCATATTGACTGGGCTATCAAGGTTGGCTGGCGTGTCCCCTTGGCCCTCCAAGTCGACACCCACACACTGGAAGTGGTCCCTCAAACAGGAAGCCTGCAGAAAGTCTTGCCGCTCAGGCAGCTCATACGAGTATGTCGTCCGTGTATCTAGGATGGTGGGATATATGTCCAAATAACCCCTAGGTAACCCAAGGCTAAATGGGTTGCTGCGCACCAGGGGTTCGTAGCAGCGACCGTGGAAACCATTTGCAGGCGCAAACATTAGCAATGGGCCCTTTCCGCCCAGTGAATGTACTGCAACTTCCACTCCTGTTGATTTCTTGACATAAGTGGTGCTCATATTGGATCTGGATTTGCTGCACACATTAAACTCAGTCTAGAGATCCACCCAAGGCAGCTTTGATTGACCATTAATTCACACACATCCGATTATTAAGCGCTTTGATCACATCGGATGGTTAAATATATGGCTGACTGAGAAGCCAGATCGAGCAACATAAAAGATGGTCATCTGCCAGTACCTGTACGGGAATGCGCTTTCTTGTCAAATTTTAGTATTAATCGAGGGAAGAGCAACACTCATCATACATCAATATAAGACGTGACCCGAGGGAAATCTGCAATCGGAGACGAGGAAAGTGTTAAGCAATATCTGAACAGCGTGAGCGAAGAGCTGCAATAGATATATTTTCTTCAACTCACAAATGGCTTGATTGG